AACTCTTAATTTTTAAAAAGTCATAAAATTGTTAATATCAAGCAAAACAAGAATTAATTACATTGGACTAGTGTAATTTTAATAATTTTTTTGTTTAAAATATTGCTGATTCTTTTTATGTTCTGCTTTACAGAGTTAAGGAAAATGTTTGCTCTCTTAAGCTTTACAGAAATAGGTAAGTATACTTTTTTGAACAAAATTGAAACATTCACTTTTTTCTCTATCTGCTCAATCCTGAATTTGGAAACTATTTATGAGTATTTCTATTTTATGGCAAAATAGTTATTTGAATAAGTTCAATAAGAATCTGTTCCCTTTTGCCACAGAACACAGCTGGAGATTCTTGTTATTTTACCAAGGCTTTGACTGAAATGCCATATTTTCAGATATGACCAGACAGCTTTGAGAAACTGAGGTTGATATTATGAAGCCCATAGGAGCTTTTGGAAAAACTGGTCTAATATCTTAAATACACGGTTCACACGGTGGGCTTGTGGTAAGTAAGCATGTCACTTTCTGACATCCCAGGAACCTCAAATTATTTTGGGGACCTTGAGAAAAGAGAAATTCACTAATGTGTACAGGTATTACTGACACAGTCTAAGAGCAAATCCAATCCTCAGCTTGGCTTCCTAGCCTGAAGAGGTTTCTAAAAGTTTAATCTGAGATTCCTTATGAAAACTTCCAGCAAAGTAAACTTAAAAAGAGCCTGTGTTACAAATCGATATGCTTACTGCACTTTATGCAAATAATTAGGCCAAGTACAATAAGACTAAAACTTAATATGCAAATAAAATGGCTTTACTTTTATTTATCCTTGGTAGAAATGGGGGACTGAAGAGAGAAAAATCATGTTTCAGGAAAGAAAAAAAACCAAAAAAAACTATAATTAGATTCCAGTTTACTGTTTGTTCTTTCTCAGTTTTTTTATTTGCCTGTAATCTAAACTAAATCCTAAATTGTTAGTCCTATCAAAATCTGTCTTTGAACCTCCATACAAGCATTTTCAATTTTCCTCCTACATTTCTGACTTGGAATCACTAAATGTTAAAATTCCCTTTTTCCTAAGACTCTGCAAGCTGATACTAGCCAACTTGGCTTTGAAGAAAAATCACTGCTATGTTTTATAAATGGACAAACTTTACACACAAGCTACAATCCAGGAAAATCTGTCAGATTGCTACTGATATTCTCAGCTGTCCTCCAGACTTTAGAAGAAACTAGTTTGTGAACTACTCCAAGCATTAACCTTTGTTTTTCTTCCAATTCTGTAACAATGGCTCTTACTATAGATCTTTTTGTCTGCATCATATATAGAGTACTAGCTTTAAGATCCCATCTACAAAGCCATCTCCTGAAATAAAACAAAACTGGTCTTTTCCCAGAAGTGAGCAGACTAATTAGACTGGCCTTTTCCCAGAAGTGAGAAGACTGGTTTAATGAGATCCTTTGCCATTCAGCTACTAACTCAGTTTTTCTCTCCACAACTACCAACTCAACTTTTTGTGTATGAAACATTAGGAAAGTTTCAAACAGGGATACTGGGGCTCAGAAACGGACACCCAAAAATATGGCAATTGGATATGCCGGTTACTTCAAATTAAAGGCTCCTGGAGGCCAGTAGACACTGGAAGAAGTCCTTCCCTCAAGTTCTCTTCCCTGCCTTAAGTCCAGATCTGCCAAAGAAGAAAACAATTACCTCGGTTCCCTTTTCTGTGTTTTCATTAACTTAACTCATGTTATGGAAAGAATGACTAAAGTCTGTCAACACACCTGGACAGATTTTTGTCACAAATCATTGTCTTCTATTTCAGTCCAATTCAGTTTTATTTTATTATTTTATTTTTGAGACGGAGTTGCGCTCTGTCGCTCAGGCTGGAGTGCAGTGGCACAATCTCGGCTCACTGCAACCTCCACCTCCCCGGTTCAAGTGATTCTCCTGCCTCAGCCTCCCGGGTAGCTGTGATTACAGGAGCATGCCACCATGCCCAGCTCATTTGTTTGTATTTTTAGTAGAGACGGAGTTTCACCTTGGCCACACTGGTCTCAGGCTTCTGACCTCTGGCAGTCCACCCGCCTCAGCGTCCCAAAATGCTAGGATTACAGGCGTGAGCCACTGCGCCCAGCGCCTGGTTATTTTTTAGGGATTTTTAGATATCTATAAAAACAATATCAGTACTTTGAGGCCTAAGATGATGTTTTCTTCCTTAAGGGAGTACTTAATTTTGTTTTGTTCCGGCAACTAAGGGCCTTAATTAGCAAAACCTGAATCACCTTAATTCCCTTTCAGAGATATCATGAAAGTTTCCTCATAAGCCGATTATAAAAGTAAAATTAGTTACAACAAGCAAAGTTTTTAGAAAATCCCTGACTCTAGTAAGTGCCCAGAAAAATTTGAATGTAATTGATTTGCATGAAAAAATGCTGTAAAACATAATCACATAAATGTTAATGGTGAATTCTGTGATATTGGTATTTCCATGAGTTTTTTCGTTCTCCTTGCAGGCTGTAAATTATTTTTTAAATGAAAATTCTTTTATTAAAAACAGCTACATTTTATAAATTAGTATAACATAATGGTAAAGAGAAATGTGAATGTATTAGAAAAGATGCTCTATTGAGAGGAGACACATTTGGGTTTCTCATGGCCTTGAATGAAGGTCCCTCTGCCGATCCTATCGTAATAGTCCTCGTGTCAGTGAAGTCCCCTGTGAAACTGGATAACAGGATTTTAAGGTAGAGATGTTCATCAGGCAGATGGAAATGAAGTCTATAGCTGTGAAGGTAAGTCAGGCAATGCAATAATTATAGAGAAAAAATAATGTAAGCTATCAAAGAAAGATGTATACAAGGGAGACACAGTCACATGAAGTCTCAGATGTAAGAGACCATAGAGCAAAAGGCTGAGTTCTGGCTTTCAGGAGTTTTCTAACATAAGTACCTGATCACCAGTTAAAAGCTAAGGAGGAAGATGAAGAATCAGTATGAGATCATAAAATTAACATGCTTTTCTAAAAATATGTGAAATGAGATTTTTAGGGAGGTATAGTTATGGCTGAAGAAAATCAAGGTGAATGAAGACAAGATCAATTGAGAATGTAGTGTCAGAAATAGCAAAGAAGCCAAAGTTTGAGGAAGTTAAGTGGCTAGGGATAAAATTGAAGCACTAAAGCATTATTGGTTCTGCAGTCAAGGATAAGACAGATTTTTTTTTTTTTTTTTTTTTTTTGAGACAGAGTCTCACTTTGTTGCCCACGCTGGAGTGCAATGGCACAATCTTGGCTCACTGCAACCTCCGCCTCTCGGGCTCAAGCAATTCTCCTGCCTCAGCCTCCCTGGTAGCTGGGATTACAGGCACATGCCACCATGTCCAGCTAATTTTTGTATTTTCAGTAGAGACTGGGTTTCACCATGTTGCCCAGGCTGGTCTTCAACTCCTGACCTCAAGCGATCCGCTCTCCTCAGCTTTCCAAAGTGCTGGGATTACAGGTGTCAGCCACCGTGCCTGGCCCAAGGGTGGGAGAGATTTAGTGAGATGACTGGATAAACAGAATCAAGAAAAAGCTTTATCAAAAACTTATGCTTCTTAAAAACTTAATCCCGGGACAGAATCATCTAAAACTTTGTTCCACGTCTTCACTTTGACTCACCCATAAAAACTTCAAGAACGAAGAATGAAAAATCTTAGGAATAACCACATATTTTCTAATGCTCAATATTTTATTTGTATTGTTGTCTTCTAAACAGATATGATAGGTCTTCATGATTTTTTGTTTTCCTTGAACTGATTCCCAAAGTATTAGTCTCATGAATCATGCATTCAAAAGAAACACAATCATTGTATTCTCTTTGCTGTATAATTTTGGTTTCAGTTTTGCTTACATTTCCTATTCAAGGAACATTTTCCTCCAAAACGACATTTGAAAAAAACAGCCAAAATGTAGTAGAGAATAGCGCGAGAGCTATTCTAGACTGTAACGAAAGCCATCTGCTATCACAATTTAATTTATTTCAAGTACTAATAAGCTGATGACAAAACAGCATTGTCTTTTAGTTTACTCACGCGAACTATTTCTCTTTTCTCCTTTTGATCATCTGGAGGAACAGGCGACCTTGGTTTCTGCTTTAGCTTCCTTGTTCTCATTAGATCGAACAATGCCTCTAAAGTGACCACAGATTTGCATTCAAACTGAAAACCTTTACCAAATGCAGTCTTGATTTGTACTTTGAAAAAAACATTTGCAAGGTATTTTATCCTTTTCTCCAACTTTTGACATATTACAAAGTACCCAAATGTGCCAGACTGTTGCCTCATCAGCCCCTGGCAGTCAGGTACAGTTAGATGCAAGGCAATCTTCCTAAAAGTTACTTATTAGAAATGTGAGAAGGGCAAATGCTATCATTGGAAAAACTGACAAAATTCTCAATAGGAAAATTAAGGAAGTGGAGAGTTACTATGTTTCTAATTTTTCATGTGCTTCTGTTTTTTTCCTACTTCAGAGCCATTGACTAATAGTTCAGTGTATCACAGGATGTGTTTTGGTCTGCTGAAACATGACACATATTTTCAAAGAACCATGGAAGTCTAAAAGAAAACCAATGAGAAATAACTAAATGAGAGTTTAGGACTGTAGCTTTCATTTTCATTCAAAGATTTAAAAGTCTCCATAAAGTAAAACGTTCTTCTCCGGCCACTTGTTTTCATAGTTTTGTGTTTTCCTTCAGGCCTTTCCGGCTTCCCATACGGCAGTAAGAAAATGATGTGCTTAATGATTACAAATTTGATATGGAATACGAACTTTCAGTTTCTGCATATGATGCACAGAGATGCTTTTGTGGTTTTATTGTTTTTCATATTACAGATAAAGAAACTAGAAAATGAAACCATTCCAAAAGTGGAAGTAATTTCTCACTGCCCCTGTGATAAACTCTGGTCATTGGCTGTGGCAGCAACTAGTATAAGATGCTCTGAAAACTCTTCAAACACTGAGGGGCACCAGAGGAGCAGACTACAAGAATGGCACATGCTATGGAAAACTCCTGGACAATCAGTGAAGAGTACCATATTGATGAAGAAGTGGGCTTCGCTCTGCCAAATCCACAGGTAAGAGAAGGCACTAAAATGTGGGAAAATGCATATTCTTCTCATTTCTTACCTGGCCAAGTTAACTTATATTTAACAACTGTGGTTCAGTAACTTCTAGTAAACAAACATATAAAGCAGTGTAAAAATTAGAGAGAGACCTGTGATAACTGCATCTCACTTAATTTGTCTTAAATTTTCTCCCTAGAAATGGAGTCATCTATGTATTTCTTACTTACCTAACATGGATATGGAGAATGGTGGGAAAGGAAACTATAGAAAGTATATCAGCTTTACATAAGAATTATACAGTAAAATACAAACAAAGAGGTTATTACAGTTGTATTTTGAGAAGGTGTTTTGAAAAAGCCAGAGTTTTAAATGAGCCATGAGTCAAAGAGAAATCCCTTTCTCTTAGGGATATACCTTAAATTATAAAAAACATGTGTTTCTAATTTGATGGGGTTTATGAGATTGCACATCAAGCACCTTCCATGTTATATGACCATTGCTTGCTATTTACTGAGCATAAGATTCAAGCGAGAGTCTGAACTACCTTTTCCTTGTTTGCAAGTTTTACCTATAAAGTGCAAGCTATGTGGAAAAAACGTTTGCCTTAAAAACTGTATTTGCTAATGTGTCTTCTAATGAATACTATGTAAACCAATTTATCATCAATATTTTAATTATCAAATACAGCATTTTTCTAAGCAATTTACAAATTAACCCTTTCCATTCTCATAGCCATCCCAAAAGGTATGTATGTTATTTATTTATTTTTATTATTTATTATTATTATTGTTTTAGATGGAGTCTTGCTCTATCACCTGGGCTGGAGTGCAGTGGCACAATCTCAGCTCACTGTAACCTCTGCCTCCCAGATTCAAGCAATTCTCCTGCCTCAGCCTCCCAAGTAGCTGGGATTATAGGCACCTGCCACCACACCCGGCTAATTTTTGTATTTTTAGTAGAGACGGGGTTTCACCATGTTGGCCAGGCTGGTCTCGAACTCCTGACCTCAGGTTATCCACCAGCCTTGACCTCCCAAAGTGCGGGATTACAGGCGCGAGCCACTGCACCCGGCTAGGTATGTATGTCATTATCCTCATGTTCCTAATGAGAAGTATAAGGCATGAAGAATGTAATTATAAAACTATGTAGCTAGCAAGTGCCAGGGGTCAGTTTGAGCCTAAGCAGCCTGTCTCCAGAGTCTATGATCTTAAAACCATTATTCCACACTGCCTCTCTTAAGAAGGGACAATAAGACATTGCTTTTCTCCTTTCTTTCAATCTTCGGTTTAACAAGGTACATGGGATTCCAGGAGAAGATTTCTATGAACATATTATGATAATTCTGTAGATGAGTATATTTTTGTTTGTAGCTCAAACAGTTACAGTCCGCATACTGGAGAGCACCTTTAAACACAGCAAATGTTTAGTCAGAGATTCCAACCTAACTGTGCTTAGAAATGAAATCCTGCAAACACTTTGGTGATACCGGGAAATTTAAAGCATCTACCTCCTTCCAGTCTAATTTTCCTCTTTGGATTGTTAATTAAAGAAAATGAAGAGTGTGCTTTAATTTTATTGCCAAAAGCACTAGTTTGCTTTATTCATGCAAATCAGTAATACTCAAACTTGCTATTTGCCTGCATACCCACAAAAATGCCAGGACTGGATGGTTTCAAAGATGTACTTATCAATGGTACAATAAAACCATCTTTTTCAGAAACTACTAAACTTTATATCATGGGTGTTTTTTTCTCAGAGGTTCGGTTCTACTTAAAAATGCAACAATTTTGATAATTATGAATACCTGTAGAACAGATTCCAAGGGGTAAAGCAAAACCACAAAAGAAAGCAAACAAAACTCTTCCTTGGCTACTTAAAAAAAAGATTCTCGGCCGGGGGCGGGTGACTCACGCCTGTAATCCCAGCATTTTGGGAGACCTAGGTGGGCGGATCATGAGGTCAGGAGTTCGAGACCAGCCTGGCCAACATGATGAAACCCCGTCTCTACTAAAAAAATACAAAAATTCGCCAGGCATGATGGCATACACATGTAATCCTCACTACTCAGGAGTCTGAGGCAGGAGAATTGCTTGAACCTGGGAGTCGGAGGCTGCAGTGAGCTGAGATCGTGCCACTGCACTCTAGCCTGGGCGACAGAGAGAGACTATCTCCAAAAAAAAAAAATAATAATAATAATAATAGTAATAGTAATTCTGACAAGGTGTGGTGGCTTACACCTGTAATCCCAGCAGTTTGGGAGGCTAAGGTGGGTGGATCCCTTGAGGTCAGGAGTTTGAGACCAGCCTGGCCAAAATGGTGAAACCCCATCTCTACTAAAAATGCAAAAAAAAAAAAAAAAAAAAAAAAAATTACCCAGCGTGTTGGCGTGCCCGTAGTCCCAGCTACTTGAGAGGCTGAGGCAGGAGAATTGTTTGAACCTGGGAGGTGAAGGTTACAGTGAACTGAGATCACGCCAATGCACTCCAGCCTGGGTGACAGAGTGAGGCCCTACCTGAGAACAATAATAATAATAGTAATTCTGCTAGCTGAGATGCTGAAGAAGCTAGATTTACTGTACCAGAAACATGAAAAAAAACTATTGATTACTTTTATTTCTTCACTGAAGATCTTTCCTAGAAATTATGAACCAAAAAATATTCTTATTTTATCTCTCGTAATCTATCTGCTTCTTAGTCCAAAGGAAAATAATATGTTTTCTGATTCCATATAGACACAATGCACAATCTCTAATCTAGCAGAATTTGAATGATCCTCAGTATGATTCATTATTAACTTATATTATACCATTTAGGGATCCTCTGAACCAGAGCATATTACTTATTAAATTTTATACTTGCTGAAAATGCTATCAAATAAAATGCTAATCACGGTACAGAACAAAAAAGTATGTCTGTTATTTGGGGAAAAATCACAACAATCAAAAAAGTAAGATGTGCTAGACTGTGAAATACAGAATAAAAACAACAAAAATACATTTATTACATTTCTTTCTTTTTTTTTTTTTTTTTTTTTGAGACGGAGTTTCAATCTCATTGCCCAGGCTAGAGTGCAATGGCATGATCTCCACTCACCGCAATCTCAGCCTCCCGAGTTCAAGTGATTCTCCTGTCTCAGCGTCAGTAGCTGGGATTCCAGGTATGCACCATCACACCAAGTTAATTTTGCTTTTTTAGTAGAGACAGGGTTTCTCCATGTTGGTCAGGCTGGTCTTGAACCTCCGACCTCAGGTGATCCACCTGCCTCGGCCTCCCAAAGTGCTGGGATTATAGGCATGAGCCACCTGGCCTGGCCTACATTTACTTCTAAAAGTACTACAGCACAGTTGGGGTGAAAAGTTCAGAGCAAGAAGGGTGGCTAAGTAGTGAAGTACACTGCCTAGATTTTCATTGCTAAAAATCTGCCCCAACTGATTAAGGCTGGACAATTACATGCAGATGTTGAAAATGTTAGGATTTTATATTATATTTATCTTTTTGTTTCATAGCTTACTTATAATATTAACTTTATTTTGAAGCTCAAAACTTCACCCATGTTGATTTCAGTTAATCTTTCCATTTGCACTTAATCCCCATGGTTCAGCATTGATTACCTTAAGGGTGTACCTTGAAACTACCTGGTGGAGTAGGCATAGAAACAGGGTATGGGGGAGTTGCTCAGGGATCTGTATCTCATTTTAGGAAGGTTCCTATGTCTTTTTATTTGTGTACTTCCGCTTGAGATGAGATTACAAATATGATAAGCTCCAAAGAGAAACTTTTATTTGAGTTTCATTTCTACTTAATGGGCAAAAACAAGCCGATAGTGGAACCAAAGTAGGTAATCAACATGAATACATACAGCACCCGCTATATGCCCAGCACTATGCCAGGGCTTATAACAGATATAAATTAAATGCACAATACAAACCTTGCCATCATGTAGCAAGGTATAAAAAGAGAATGTATGTAAACTGTATAAGCCTGGGTTTCCTTATTTATGATAGAGATAACTTCTTGGGCCGTTACAATAATTAAATATATATACTATATATATATGAAATTATTGAACAGAGTGCCTAGTCCACTACTGACATTTAACACATCTCATTTTTCTTCCATTCAAAGAACTTAAAATCTAGCCAAAATAAGCCAAAGTAGGCCAGGCACAGTGGCTCATGCCTGTAATCCCAGCACTTTGGGAGGCCGAGGCAGGCAGATCACCTGAGGACAGGAGGTCGAGACCAACTTGGCCAACATGGCAAAACCCAATCTCTACTAAAAATACAAAAATTAGCCGGGCACGGTGGCTCATGCCTGTAATCCCAGCTACTTGGGAGGCTGAAACAGGAGAATTGCTTGAACCCAGGAGGCGGAGATTGTAGCGAGCCAAGATCGCGCCACTGCACTCCAACCGAAGCAACAGAGCGAGACTCCAATTCAAAAAAGAAAAGAAAAGAAAAAAAAAAAAACGAAAGTAGCAGATAATAATTGTTTAACAATATGAAAAGGCATAATCCGTAGAGTTTACAATGGAGATTAGTTTCAAATAGAGTAGTCAGGAGGATTTTAGTGAAACCTTTGAGGTGAACTTTGAAAAGCTGCAAATGGCAGTGTTTGAAGAGAGAGGAAGAGGTGGAACACAGAAAGGGCCTTCAGCCCCATGTGTGCAGAAGACAAGACAGAGGCTGGTGTTTCCAGACAGGTAAGCCACGTGCCAGGGCAACACTGCACAAAATGGATGTGGGGGCAAGGCATCCTATCAGTGGGAAGCCAAAGCTACAGTAACTGCTACTAGTAAATAAAGATCTTTTTTTGTTTCTTTTTTCAAGGAAAATCTACCTGATTTTTATAATGACTGGATGTTCATTGCTAAACATCTGCCTGATCTCATAGAGTCTGGCCAACTTCGAGAAAGAGTTGAGAAGGTTTGACATATGTATTACATTTTTCTTCTTGTATAGCCTCTTAACATTGTTAACTTGGTTTTGAAGCATAAAACATCACCGAGATTGATTTGAGTCAATTGCTCCATTTGTTTTCAGTTAGACATGCTCAGCATTGATCATCTCACAGACCACAAGTCACAGCGCCTTGCACATCTAGTTCTGGGATGCATCACCATGGCATATGTGTGGGATAAAGGTCATGGAGATGTCCGTAAGGTTTGGAGATTTTCTCAGATTTCTTATGCTATGTGACAGATTTTCATCTAATTTACATTTAACTTTCCAAAAATTTTCTGAAAGCGTTTTAACTGCATTGGTCAAAGTTTCGATAACAGGACAAAATGAAAAAGAAAATATGCCCTGGCTTGACATGTCAACTGTTATCATTATTATATTTTTAAGTCTTTTACTTTATTTTTCATCCTGTATTTTATCTGGCAACCCTAATTACATAAAACTAATACAGACTGCAATATCTAACCTTTAAAACACATATGGGCCTCCCGGCACTTTGGGAGGCCATGGAGGGAGGATCACCTGAGTTCAAGAGTTCAAGACCAACCTGGCTAACATGGCGAAACCCCATCTCTATGAAAAATACAAACAATAGCCAGGCATGGTGGCAGGTGCCTGTAATCCCATCTACTCGGGAGGCTGAGGTGGGAGAATCACTTGAACCTAGGGGGCGGAGGTTGCAGTGAGCCGCGATCCTGCCACTGCACTCCAGCCTGGGCCACAGGAGCGAGACTCTATCTCAAAAAAACAAAACAAAACAAAAAACAAACCTAACTACTGTATTTTAATCAGGTCTTGCCAAGAAATATTGCTGTTCCTTACTGCCAACTCTCCAAGAAACTGGGCCTGCCTCCTATTCTGGTTTATGCAGACTGTGTCTTGGCAAACTGGAAGAAAAAGGATCCTAATAAGTATGTAAAGAGTGAGAACAACAGGAATTTTTGGAGTGTGTGCCAATTAAATAAAACAGGAGTTGTTCATTGGCTTAATTTTGGGCAGCACAGTTTTCCTCTCAGTTGGATATGGTCCCTCTCAGTTCTTCAGTTGGGTACGGTTTCTTGGACTGCTGTGTCTACCACTACAAATGTACACACATGTGACAGGTGTATAGTTAACACAGTAAAATGCACAGATCTTAAGTGTTCAGCTTGAATTTAACTATTACATAATTACATACACCCACCATTCTCAGTAAGATACAGAATATTTTTATCACCTCAGAAAATTTCTTTGTGCTTCTTTCAATTCCCTTTCCTGCGACAGACAAATATATTCTTATTTGCCTTGTCAAAAAGTAGATGATTTTTGGGGCCGGGCGCGGTGGCTCAAGCCTGTAATTCCAGCACTTTGGGAGGCCAAGACGGGCGGATCACGAGGTCAGGAGATCGAGACCATCCTGGCTAATATGGTGAAACCCCGTCTCTACTAAAAATACAAAAAACTAGCCGGGCGAGGTGGTGGGCGCCTGTAGTCCCAGCTACTTGGGAGGCTGAGGCAGGAGAATGGCGTAAACCCGGGAGGCGGAGCTTGCAGTGAGCTGAGATCCGGCCACTGCACTCCAGCCTGGGCGACAGAGCGAGACTCCGTCTCAAAAAAAAAAAGGAGATGATTTTTGTTATTGGGTTTCACATCAATGAAACCACAAAGTATAGACTCTTGTGTCTGGCTTCTTTTGATTAGCATGTTTTTGAGATTCTGTTAATTTAATTTTTTAGCAGCCAATTGTAGTTAAGAGTCAACACATCTTTAATTACACGCAGCAATGACTGGTTTTTCAGAGCTGTCTGCTCAGGATGTAGGTGATTTTTACCCTTCAGGCACGAGATCTGCTACAATAAAGGAAAGGGAGAACCAAAGCACATGTCTCTGGGTGTGTGCCTGTAGAAGAATACCCTGCAAATGGGAATACCACAAAATGAAAGGATTTGATCTAGAAAGTTTCTTCTTATTGAAAATTAGTCTTTTTAAAAAAAATTAACCGGGAATGGTGGCATATGTCTGTGGTCTCAGCTACACAGGGGGTTAAGGCAGAAAGATCACTTGAGCCCTGGAAGTTGAGGCTGCAGCGAGCTATGTTCGTGCCACTGCACACCAGCCTGGGCGACAGAGTGAGACGCTGTCTCAAAAAAAAAATAAAATAAAATAAAATAAAACAATTAGTTTTGACTGTCCATGTGTGTTCCTTGCATATTTGAGCATTTAATTCATTTGTGAGTTATTAAGTTAAATGTTTGTAATGCCTACTGAAGAAATATTTTTAAAACTTTTTCTTTTACCTGACTATGTCTTACCTCTGATAGTAGTATTCAATCAAATAGCAACAACTCATCATTATTTGCTGTTAAATTGATTTTCTTTCTCTCTTCCAATTGGCCCATTGCTTCATGGCTGCGTTCATAAGGCCCCTGACTTATGAGTAAGTATCTGATTCTTGTTTTAGTCTAAGAATTTGCTATTTATAGTCGAATGTAGGTTTATCGATAGACTCCAAATGCATTTTTAAATAATTAAATTCAGCCAAAAAAATAATTTCAGTGATTATTTAGAGAACAAATAATCTCTGTCTTTAACTGTATCTATGATTGTGTTACAACTATGTCTATTTGATATTATAGCTATAGATATACACAAGAATACTACTCAGATACGTCTATAGGAAATTAATATGCAAACATACAAAATGCACATACATCTGTGTATCTATGACTTAATAACTCCTATGTCCATAACTAGTTACCATTGTCAATAAGTAACCTTATACCAACTTGTTCTTTTTGACCCAATCCTTACTACTTTTGACCTATAATATATACTAAACATAGGCTAAGAGGTGGAAAAACTGGGCTGGGTGCGTGGCTCACACCTGTAATCCCTGTACTTTGGGAGGTCAAGGCAGGCGGGTCACCTGAGGTCAGGAGTTCAAGACCAGCCTGGCCAACATGGTGAAACCTCATCTCTACTAAATATACAAAAAAATTAGCCGGGCATGGTGGCAGGTGCCTGTAATCTCAGCTACTCAGGAGGCTAGGCAGGAGAATCAGTTGAACCCAGGAGGTGGAGGTTGCAGTGAGTGGAGATCACCCCACTGCATTCCAGCCTGGGTGACAGAGCAAGACTCCATCTCAAAAAAAAAAAAAAAAAAAAAAGAGAGATGGAAAAACTAAGGTAAGTATCATTAATATAAACCCACCTTGGTGAAGCTAGACTAACGAAGAGGAAAGGCAGTATATGAAAATTATGCAAACTGCCAAATGATTAAGAGAAGGCTTAAGAAGATAAAGTATTGGGATCCCTAACCAAATAAAAGGAGTGATGCGGGAGCCCTTGAAGCAAGTTATTTGAGCAATTAGCTAGAGGAAAAAGGTAAGAGTATTCATAGCAGAAGAAACAGCAAAAGTGAGGCCTTGAAGTGACAAATATCTTGGTGCATTATCAAAACTGAATGATGGCTAATATGACTGATAGTAAATGATAAAAATAACAGTGTGAGAAAAAGATTATTATTATTTTTTTTAAAGATGGCTGGGCAAAGCAGGTGGATCACCTGAAGTCAGGCATTCGAGACCAGTCTGGCCAACATAGCGAAAACCCTCCTCTTCTAAAAATACAAAAATTAGTGGGGCATGGTGGCACATGCCTGTAATCTCAGCTACTCAGGAGACTGAAGCAGGAGAATAGCTTGAACCCAGGAGGCAGATGTGGCAGTGAGACAAGATTGTGCCATTGCACTCCAGCCTGGGTGACACATCTCAAATAATAATAATAATAATAAAAGATTATGTAGGATATTTTTAGTTATGATAAGGAGTTAAAACAGTATCTTAAGGGAGAAACTGGAAGGTTTTTAAAAAGGAGGATGACATCAACAGTCAGTCCCACTTTACAGATGAGAACACCAAGGCAGACGATGTCATATCTTGCTCAAGGTCACACAGCAAGTAAGTTACAGAGATGGTCTGGCTTCAGACACCATGAATTTAACCACCACAAAACTCGTAGATACATAGATAGACTATGTTTGCACCAGTGCCCAAACTTCAATTAAAAAGAAAAACAGGGTCTAATCAGTTATTTGAATTCCGCAGTCAATTCCTTTGTAAAGCAGATAAACCACTGAGAAATTGAATTAGGCTCACAAATTAAAATATGAATAGGAATATAATTATTTAAACAAAAGACTACCTTTTAAAACTCTACCTCACAGATACCTCTGTAAACATTGAGTATATACGTATGGTAATATAAATGCCTGTGACAAGTCAATGGGATAATAGAAACAGAACTAGTTGAGGAATTTCTAGTTCTGTTTTTTTTTGTTGTTGTTTTGTTTTGTTTTGTTTATTTGTTTTCTGAGACGAGACTTGCTCTTGTCACCCAGGCTGGAGTGCAATGGAGCGATCTTGGCTCACTGCAAGCTCCGCCTCCTGTGTTCAAGTGATTCTCCTGCCTTAGCCTCCTGAGTAGCTGGGATTACAGGCGCCGACCACCACACCCACCTAATTTTTGTATTCTTAGTAGAGACGGGGTTTCACCAACATTGGCCAGGCTGGTCTCCAACTCCTGACCTCAGGTGACCAACCCGCCTTGGCCTCCTAAAGTGCTGGGATTACATGTATGAGCCACCATGCCCGGCCCTAGTTTTGAGTTTCAACATGAAACTTTAGGTCTCAATTTAGTCTACTTACTGTTAATTATGTGATCTTAGACAACGGGCCTAACAACTGAGTCTTAATATTCCCAACTACATAATGGAGATAGTAAGGCCTGCCACACCTCTCTCATAAAATTATGTTGAAACTAAAATAGGATAAATAAAAAAGTCAAAAAAATCCCATAATTTTTGCTAAACTTCTTGCCTTCCTTATCCAATTTCCTCAGGAACATGGACGTTTTGTTCTCCTTTCGTGATGGAGACTGCAGTAAAGGATTCTTCCTGGTTTCTCTATTGGTGGAAATAGCAGCTGCTTCTGCTATCAAAGTATGTCTATCCTCACTTCAAAATTTGTATGTCGATTTACGTAAGCAGAGCAATCATTTCGGAGCCTAAACTATACTAAGCATGAGTTAACTTTATCCTTAACAAATACAACATGGGATCATTTAATTGGGAGTAAAGGATCAATTATTCATTTTTGTGTATTACCTAAAATATAAAATCTCAGAGCCATATACTTAAAATCCAACTTGAAACCTCTGTAGGAAATAAAATTTTTCAATAAAATGTGGCTTTGGAACTATGATACAGTGTCATAAATTCAATAGTTTTGATTATCAAAAATAGAAATGAAACATATATGACTATATAAATATCTCTAAATTAAATGCTATGTGAATAAAAACAAATCCAAGCTTCTATAAATATAAAGAAATTAGTCAAATAGGGTGTCCAGCCCAGGAAAGAATTGTAAAAATCCCAAATTTAATTTATGGATTAAGACGGGGGAATTTGTCCAGGCACAGTGGCTCACGCCTGTAATCCCAGCACTTTGGGAGGCTTAAGTGGGCAGATCACTTGAAGTCAGGAGTTTGGGACCAGCCTGGCCCCCATGGCGAAACCCCATCTCTACTAAAAATATAAAAATTAGCCGGGCGCTGTGGTGGGTGCCTGTAGTCCCAGCTACTCAGGAGGCTGAGGCAGGAGAATGCTGTGAACCATTGAGGTGGAGCTTGCAGTGAGCCGAGATCGCGCCACTGTACTCCAGCCTGGGCAACAGAGCGAGACTCCGTCTCAAAAAAAAAAAAGAAAAAAAAGAAAGAAAACCTTAAATGTTTGGTTTTTTTGTTTTGTTTTGTTTTAGGAAATTCCTACTGTATTCAGGGCAATGCAATTGCAAGAACGGGACACTCTGCTAAAGGCACTGTTGGAAATAGCTTCTTGCCTGGAGAAAGCCCGTCAAGTGTTTCAGCAAATGCACGGCAAGTATTGTGTGCAGCGCAATAGTCTAGGCTGACAAGTCAAATGTTCCAGATGTAGAACGGTTGAAAAAAGGGAAGCAAAAAGCAACTACCACTTAGTATGTTTTCACTTTAGGTATTTTATCTTACTAAACCATTACACTTTCTATGTGGTAGGTTTCATTATCTCCATTTTACAAGTAAGGTCATCTAAATTCAGAAAGACAGGGTAAATGACTTCAGATTCCACAGGCAGTAAATAGTGAAGCCAGAGTTCCAAGCTGGCTCTATTTAATGCTAAGGAACTTCCTTGCCTCCTACTAAAAACCTTTGAGAAACTTTCTACATGGGAGGGTGGTTTTAAGTTCTGAAAAAAAAAAAAAAACTTCTGCTTAATAAGAACTCTTTCCTAATTCTGTTTTTTCACAAATTAAGAAATAACACAGAAACGTCATTGAGCTCAAAGGTTGTTGCGAAATTAACAGTTAAAAAACTACCCCCAAAAAAACACACAAAAAGGTATATAAGCAGTAACTTGCAATAGGAAATCTGCCCTACTGAACAGAGTCAACAAATACCTAATTGTTTATCTCTGGGTTTTGAGTTATTGCTATTTAGTCCTTGGCAAGAAGTTACATTTTCAAATCAAGTAGGGTAGGAGGCTGAGTGCGGTGGCTCATACGTGTAGTTTCCAGCTACCTGGGAGGCTGAGGTGGGAAGATTGCTTGAACCCAGGAGTTGAGGCTGCAGTGACCTATGATCACTACATTCCAGCCTGAGCGATGAAGTGAGACCCTGTCACCAAACGATTTTTTAAAATTTTGAAAATAGAGAGGGAGATCTAGTTTCTGGGCTTTTGGTTTGTTTTGTTTTTGTCTTTGGTTTGTTTCTTTATGTAAACAGTTTATCTGTTACGTCAGTAAGCACTAAGTTTACAGTTTAACGGGCCTCCTGGAAGAGGGCAGGAGAGTGAACGTTTATAACCACAGGGGCTTTGTTTAGCACAGACTGACCTAATGCCTTTTCCTGCAGCCTGTGCCGAAATCTGTTATCAGTTGTACACGACACCTTGATTTCCCTGTATACCTCTGATGCTGCTTAATTAAACACATTCCATCTTTTTACAGATCACGTAAACCCAAATGCATTTTACAGTGTTCTTCGCATATATTTGGCTGGGTATGTAGTCTTATGTTTGAATTTGTTTGCTCTCACTTAACAAAGAACACCAACAAATTCTCTTGGATGGTCCCTAATATCCATTGGGTTTGACTAACAATTTATATCCAAAAATTCATATGGTAGAAAAAGACTAGACGGTTCTGTTATCACTTGGCCAGCAATGTATTGGAGGGTGAGACAGGAAAGCTAGTTATTTTAAAAAGAGTGGTCTGTGCTAGTGCAAAGGTAAAATTTCATTCCTAGAATATTTATGCCAAATCTGCGCAGGATTATATTAATTATTCTCATGCATGAAAATGAGTAGGGGCAAGGGGGCATGAAAGAAGGATCATGAAATACATCTCTTGTCACCTTCTATTCACTACTAGTGCAAGATTTGATACCTGAAAATTAGCAATTAATCTAAAGAATGATTTTTCTTTTTTTCTTTCTTTCCTCCGATAGCTGGAAAGGCAACCCCCAGCTATCAGACGGTCTGGTGTATGAGGGGTTCTGGGAAGGCCCAAAGAAGTTTGCAGGGGGCAGCGCAGCACAAAGCAGCATCTTTCAGTGCTTTGACGTCCTGCTGGGCATCCAACAGAATGCTGGTGGAGGTGAGTGGAAAATAGCAAGAAATAATCATCTCTTATGTGAACACAATAGTATTTGGATATCTAGAAAGCACCTTCCCATCAGCAGCTCATCTGAGCTTATCTGATGGTTTTAGTAGAATCAGGCAAGTAGGGATTTGGTTGCCATGATCCCACTTTAAAAATGAAGATGCAGAAACTTAATAAGAGTCAGTGACTGGTTCCTCTGCTAGAAAGTGGCAGAGCTGGCCGGGTGCGGTGGCTCAAGCCTGTAATCCTAGCACTTTGGGAGACCTAGGCAGGTGGATCACCTGAGGTCAGGAGTTCGAGACCAGCCTGACCAACATGGTGAAACCCCATCTCTACTAAAAATACAAAAACTAGCCGAGCATGATGGTGGGTGCCTCTAATCCCAGCTACTCAGGAGGCTCAGGCAGGAGAATTGCTTGAACTCGGCGGGCAGAGGTTGCAGTGAGCCAAGATTGCACCACTGTACTCCAGCCTGGGCAAAAGGGTGAAACTCCGTGTCAAAATAAAAATAAAAAATAAAAGGCCAGGCGCGGTGGCTCATGCCTGTAATCCCAGCACTTTGGGAGGCCGAGGCGAGCGGATCACAGGATCAGGAGATGGAGACTATCCTGGCTAACACGGTGAAACCCCGTCTTTACTAAAAATACAAAAAATTAACTGGGTGTGGTGGTGGGTACCTGTAATCCCAGCTACTTGGGAGGCTTAGGCAGGAGAATGGCATGAACCCGGGAGGTGGAGCTTGCAGTGAACTGAGATGGCGCCACTGCACTCCAGCCTGGGCAAGAGTGTGAGACTCCATCTCAAAATAAATAAATAAATAAAAATAAAATAAAATAAAATAAATAACATAAAAGTGGCAGAGCTTTCCTCACACCCAAGTTCCATCTTGAAATCTGAACATGTCTATAAAGAGTGGTTGACTCTAGTGAAGTCATGTTCTGAAAATGTATGATCAGACTTAGAAAGAGACAGTCACCTGCAAATGAAGCAGGGCTGTTAGTGGGGAGATAAAGACCTCAGTGACAAGCAGAGTCTGGGTCCTGGTCTTGTTCAGCTGTCCCGTGGCCCCAGCCACCCAGAGCAATGCCTGCACCAAAGTTTAAAGATGAGCCACATTCATTGTATGCCTTCTAGGGGCTGAGCTGGAGGAGAGGAATAAGCTCCAAGAAGAATTTTTTAATTTTCTCTGTTTCGTTAAACTTCTGTTTAATAGTCAAAGGGGAAAGCATCGGGCTGGGTAAAAACATGAGTTTTTCTTAATTTGAGCACTTATTTTTTAAATTTTTTAATCATATTTAATTTTTTTATTTTAGATTCAGGGGATACATGTGCAGGCTTATTACACAGGTATACTGAGTGATGCTGATGTTTGGGCTTCTAATGATCCCCTCACCCAAGTATAGAACATAGTGCCCAATAGGTAGTTTTTCAGCCTTTGCTTTCCTCCCTCCCTCCCTCCCCTATTTGAAATGCTCCCTGTCTATTGTTCCCATCTTTGTGTCCATGTGTACTCAATATTTAGCTCCCACTTATTGGTGAGAACATGTGGTATTTGGTTTTCTGTTTCTGCATTAATTCACTTAGGCTAACTTAAGCTAATGGCCTCCAGCTGCTGCCTCCTTGTTGCTGTGAAGCACTTGATTTCATTCTTTTTCGTGGCTGTGTAGTATTCCATTGGTGTACATGTGCCACATTTTCTTTGTCCCATCCATCATTGATGGGCACCTGGGTTCATTCCATGTCTTTGCTATTGTCGAACACTCATTTAAACACACTCTTAAACTCTCTTAAGAATCAGTCATAATCTGTCAAATGCAGATTATATATGCCCTTGTCTATACCATCAGCTTCTTACAGTAGAAAAGAGAGAAAGAAAGTGCAAAAAAAGGCCAGGCGCGGTGGCTCAGGCCTGTAATCCCAGCACTTTGGGAGGCTGAGGAAAGTGGATCATCTGAGGTCAGGAATTTGAGACCAGCCTGACCAACATGGAGAAACCCTGTCTCTACTAAAAATACAAAATTAGCCAGGCATGGTGGCACGTGCCTGTAATCCCAGCTACTCAGGAGACTGAGGCAGGAGAATTGTTTGAGCCTGAGAGGCAGAGGTTGCAGTGAGCTGAGATTGTGCCACTCTACTCCAGCCTGGCCGACAGAGTGAGACTCTGTCTCAAAAACAAAAAAAAGAAAAGAAAAAAAAGTGCAAACAAAAATACTTATTGTGAGAAAATGAGTTTAGCTCATTCAGTTTTCAAAATTAATAGTATTTTACAATAATAACAATTGCTAGTAGCAAGACTAATAGCCAAACATTAGCCTTCAAATAGAATGACCTTGACTTCACTGAATGCTATATTGGTGATCTCCTGCCCACTCTGCCCTCACTCTGCCTTTCTCTCCTGGATTGGGGAATGCTGTGACCTCCGTGTTTCCTCTTTCTCTTGTTCCTGTAGGACATGCTGCTCAGTTCCTCCAGGACATGAGAACATATATGCCACCAGCTCACAGGAACTTCCTGTACTCATTAGAGTCAAGTCCCTCAGTCCGTGAGTTTGTCCTTTCAAAAGGTGATGCTGGCCTGCGGGAAGCTTATGATGCCTGTGTGAAAGCTCTGGTCTCCCTGAGGAGCTACCATCTGCAAATCGTGACTAAGTACATCCTGATTCCTGCAAGCCAGCAGCCAAAGGAAAACAAGACCTCTGAAGACCCTTCAAAACTGGATGCCAAAGGAACTGGAGGCACTGATTTAATGGAATTCCTAAAGACTGTGAGAAGTACAACCGAGAAATACCGTTTGAAGGAAGGTTAACGTAACCCAACAAGAGCACATTTTATCATAGCAGAGACATCTGCATATATTCCTGTCATTACCCATTGTAACAGAGCCACAAACTAATACTATGCAGTGCTTTGCCAATAATGCAATACAAAAGACCTCAAAATACCTGTGCATTTCTTGTAGGAAAACAACAAAAGGTAATTATGCGTAATTATAGTAGAAGTTTTATAATCTGTATCTTAATGATTAAATCAAATAAATAAAAATGCATAAGATATAAATATTCTTTCATAATAAATAAAAATGCATAAGATATAACAAATCTTGCTTCATTTATAACTATAATCAAGTATTTCTTTAGATGAGACCTACTCTAAACTGCTTTCAGCAGGGCTAATAGACTCCTATACTTTCCCTTTGTTAATGCGAGACTTTTTCATAATTACCTGTTTACTTGTCTATATTCTCATTACATGATAAGCTTCTTGATGCAAGGGACACTCTGTATTGTTTACCAGATTTACGCATCGCAGTTTTTTTTTTTTTTTTTTTTTTTTGAGACAGGGTCTCACTCTGTCACCCAGGTTGGAGTGCAGTGGCATGATCTCAGCTCACAGCAGCCCTGACCTCCCAGACCTAAGTGATCCTCCTACCTCAGCCCCCTAAGTAGCTGAGACTACAGTTGTGCGCCAACATGCTCAGCCAATTTTTATATTTTTTGTAGAGACAGGGTCTTGCTATGTTGCCCAGGCTGGTCTTGAACTCCTGAGCTCAAGTTATGTCTGTATCTTATCTTTGGAATACATGATAATCCCAGCACTTTGGAAAGCCAAAGTGCTGGCATGAATATATTTAATAATAGAATCCTAAGAAGCTAGAGCCTGAGAGGAACTTAAGAATTATCAAAGCCAAGCTCTTCATTTTAAAGATGGCAACACTGAGGCACAGAAGGGTGAAATCACTTAACGATGATCACACAATTAGTTGGTTAACAATGGGAGAAAAAATTTTTGATGACTCATCTTTGTTCTTTTTGCTCTACTTGGAGTAGACTAGGTGGGAGGAAAAAATAATTTTGGAAGGAAAAGGGGAGGAAATGAAATGACTGGGGAGGAACTCGTGATATTGTAAACGGTCAGCCAGCAATCAAGTACGTTATAGAAGATGAGAGGAAGGGGCTGGGCGTGGTGGCTAACTCCTGTAATCCCAGCACTTTGGGAGACCAAGGTGGGTGGATCATGAGGTCAGCATATCGAGACCATCCTTGCTAACACAGTGAAACCCCGTCTCTACTTAAAATACAAAAAAATTAGCCAGGCGTGGTGGCGGGCGCTTGTGGTCCCAGCTACTCGGGAGGCTGAGGCAGGAGAATGGAGTGAACCCAGGAGGTGGAGCTTGCAGTGAGCTGAGATCACTGAGTAGCTGAGACTACAGGCGCCCACCACCACGGCCAGCTAATTTTTTGTATTTTTAGTAGAGACGGGGTTTCACCATGTTGGCCAGGCTGGTCTCGATCTCCTGACCTCAGGTGATCCACCCACCTTGGCCTCCCGAAGTGCTGTGATTACAGGAGTGGGACACCGTGCCTGGCCTGCTAAGGATCTTGTATTGGCTCCAGGTCAAGATGCTCTCTATCTTGTGTCCCACCTGCAGCACTGATGGCCCACAACCCTGGAAAGGCTACACTTCAGGCACATCAGGCATTTCTCTCTTCCAGAGTTGGTTTCACCTAATTAGTACTGACATGCAGAGAGTCTCTGGTTGCTAAAGAAAGACCCTGCAGTCATGCCTTCTCCTTTAGAACATCACCTTTATTCTGATAATAAGGGAGAGAGGGAAAGAGGGAAAGTGAGGGGCATCATCATAGAAATTGCACCCACTGCTGCCTTGTAGGTGAGAGAGGGACTGACACTGGACTCCATGTGCTCCTACAGAGGGTGTGAACGCTAGCTCCAGAGTCCCTTCTGTATTTCCACATAATAGAAACCAAGGGACTGGTACAGCGGCTCACACCTGTAATCGCAGCACTATGAGAGTCTGAAGTGGGTGGATCATGAGGTCAGGAGTTCGAGAACAGCCTGACAAATATGGTGAAACCCCGTCTCCACTAAAATACAAAATTTAGCCATCCATGGTGGCATGTGCCCATAATCCCAGCTACTTGGGAGGCTAAGGGAGGAGAATGATTTGAACTTGGGAGGCAGAGGTTACAGTGAGCCAAGATCACGCCACTGCACTCCAGCCTAGGTGACAGAGACTCTGTCTCAAAAAAAAAAAAAAGAGAAACCAAGATTCCTGAATTACTGTAATTAAATCATCTCTGGAGTGGGAAAGGCACCACAAAATGCTTGGTATGTTTCATGAGAAGCCCTGCTGCTTCGTCCGCCCCTGCCCCGCCCCCATCCCATGCATTTTCTACATATTGCAGTGAGTGCTCCTCCAGGGGTAGGGTGAGATCACCAGATGGTGAAGGTGGTAACCTATCACAGTACATGGTTTTAACGAGATGTAATATGTTTTAAGTAACATGGTTCCTATGTGAGTGAAATTAAAGATAATTCTATCCCAATCTGTGTCATGAGAAAACCAGAAATTCATAGCGGTAGTGGGGCATGCTGGCTCATGCCTATAATCCCTGCACTTTGGGAGGCCGGGTGGGGGGCAGATAACTTGAGGTCAGGAGTTCAAGACCAGTCTGGCAGGGCCGGGCGCGGTGGCTCAAGCCTGTAATCCCAGCACTTTGGGAGGCCGAGACGGGTGGATCACAAGGTCAGGAGATCGAGACCATCCTGGCTAACACAGTGAAACCCCGTCTCTACTAAAAAATACAAAAAACTAGCCGGGCGAGCTGGCGGGCGCCTGTGGTCCCAGCTACTCGGGAGGCTGAGGCAGGAGAATGGCGTGAACCCGGGAGGCGGAGCTTGCAGTGAGCTGAGATCAGGCCACTGCACTCCAGCCTGGGCGACAGAGCGAGACTCCGTCTCAAAAAAAAAAAAAAAAAAAAAAAAAGACCAGTCTGGCCAACATGGTGAAACCCTGTCTCTACCAAAAATACAAAAAGTAGCAGGGAATGGTGGCAGGTGCCTGTAATCCCAGCTACTCAGGAGGCTGGGGCAGGAGAATCGCTTGAATCCAGGAGGCGCAGGTTGCAGTGAGTCGAGATCATACCACTGCACTCCAGCCTGGGAGACAGAGCGAGCCTCCTTCTCAAAAAAAAAAAAAAAAAGGAATGAAAGAAAGAAATTCATAGTTGTGACTTCCGTCCAGACCGGAACCCAAGATGGCTGCGCTCTTGCTGAGACATGTTGGTCGTCATTGCCTCCGAGCCCACTTTAGCCCTCAGCTCTGTATCAGAAATGCTGTTCCTTTGGGAACCACAGCCAAAGAAGAGATGGAGCGGTTCTGGAATAAGAATATAAGTTCAAACCGTCCTGTATCTCCCCACATCACTATCTACAGTTGGTCTCTTCCCATGGCGATGTCCATCTGCCACCGTGGCACTGGTATTGCTTTGAGTGCAGGGGTCTCTCTTTTTGGCATGTCGGCCCTGTTACTCCCTGGGAACTTTGAGTCTTATTTGGAACTCGTGAAGTCCCTGTGTCTGGGGCCAGCACTGATCCACACAGCTAAGTTTGCACTCGTCTTCCCTCTCATGTATCATACCTGGAATGGGATCCGACACTTGATGTGGGACCTAGGAAAAGGCCTGAAGATTCCCCAGCTATACCAGTCTGGAGTGGTTGTCCTGGTTCTTACTGTGTTGTCCTCTATGTGGCTGGCAGCCATGTGAAGAACGGAGGTTCCCAGCATCATCTTCCTACACCTTATTACATTCATCCATCTTTCTGTTTTTCATTCTTATCTCCAGCCTGGGAAAAGTTCTCCTTATTTGTTTAGGTCCTTTTGTACTTTCAGATCCCGTTGGAGCAGTAGAGTACCTTGTAGACCATAATAGTGGAAAAGGGTCTAGTTTTCCCCTTGTTTCTAAAGATGGGGTGGCTGCAAAAACTCCCCTTTTTTGCCCACAGCTTGCCAACTCTAGAAGCAGTTATTCTGTCTGCATATTGGGCTTTGATTTGTGCTGAGGGTCAGCTTTTGGCTCCTTCTTCCTGAGACAGTGGAAACAATGCCAGCTCTGTGGCTTCTGCCCTGGGGACTGGGGGTGAGGCTTTGGGTGCCACTGCCTGTGGGTTGCTGGCTTAAAGGACAATTCTGTTCATTGGTGAGAGCCCAGGCCATTAACACCTACGCAGTGTTATTGAAAGAAGAGAGGTGGGGGTGGAGGGGAATTAGTCTGTCCCAGTTAGAGGGAGATAAAGAGGGCTAGTTAGTTCTTGGAGCAGCTGCTTTTGAGGAGAAAATATATAGCTTTTGACACAAGAAGATCCAGAAAATTATTGAACATATTAATGGTTATTTCTTTTTCTTTTTCTTGGATTTCCGGAAAAGCCTCTTAGTTTTATGCTTTCTCATCAAAGTCATGTACCCTTTTTTTCTGAAACTGAATTAAAATACTCATTTAAAAAAAAAAAAAAAGAAATTCATAGTTGTGTATTTCTTCAAGGTTGTTTTCCATAAGTAAGGGTAATTTAGCTTAAAATATGTATCATTTTCATAACAAGGTTCAACAAAGTATTCTTTAGCCCTTATCTTGTATAATTCAGCTTTGCATATTAAATGTTGAAATTATTTATGTATTATTTAGTCCTATTTTTCACTCTACTATATTAAATATAATCTCACAAGGAAATAAGAAATATTTTTCTCAGTTCACACCACTCTGAACTTCTCATGCCCTTTAAACAAGAGCTAGTGCAGTCAAGCAGTTGTAATGGTCAGCCATGAAATGGAAATTAAAATTTGCTCATTTCCACATAATTGTTTTATGTCAATAAACAATAAACAATTAAAAGGTCAGAAGTTCACACAAGTCAAAAATTTTTCATATAAACATACACTTAATGGTTTCTAAGATTCTTGCCAAATATGAGACAAAATGACCCACACAGGCAGAAATTCCATCTCCAGACCCTCTGGGAAATAGCAAACTTGTATTTAGAACTCACACCATCTGCTCCTAATGGTCTTTATATATAGTTATTTAATCTTTAAAGCAATTCTATATATTATTACTCTCCTGATTTTACATATGAGGAAATTGAGATGCCAGAGGCCAAGAAATTTGTTCAAGAATATAACAAGGAACAGACAATGCTAGAGTATAAATTTGCATAGTCAGGCTCTAAAGATGAGCTCTTAATTACTATAATGTATAGGAGTCAATGTATCCAGCTTCTGGGGGAATACCTCTAGAGAAGGGGATGTCAATAACACATATACGACTCAACTCACTTTTGCACAGACACTCTTTTAGTTGCTTGACATTTAAATATCAATAAAGCACTTTTTCTAATCTCAATTGGCTTACAGAGACAAGACATCATATTGTGTTTCTTTGGGGGTGATTACCTCTGTAATCGTTAGACTAATAAGAAAATAGTGTGTGATAGAGGCACAAAATAGAAAATGATTCTTTCTGTTTGAAAAGTTGAGGAATGTTGTTTACAGGAGGTAAGTTTGATACTTAACTTTAAAGTTGAATTGATTGGTGTACCTTTATTGAAAATTTTCTCCTGAATGCCCAGCATTAAATAAACAAGCAAACATTTAACTTTGCTTGTTGACCTAGCCTCATATATAATGCAAGAAGTAAACATAAAAATATCAGTGTTGTAAATGAGCATCAGAATCATCTAATATATGGAATCTTCTGGGAGAGCTACTTTTTTAAACTATAAACTAATAATGATAGCTAACAATGACTTAATTCTTTCATATGCCTCTTACTGTCCTAAAATATACATTAATCACTTGATCAAAACAATGAATCTAGAGACAGGTACTATTACTAGTACTCCTTTTTCCTATATGGGAATTGATACTCAATGTAGTTCAGTAGTTTTCAAGAGCCACACGGCTATGACAAAGTAAAAGATTGAACCCAGGCAATCTGACTACAGAATATTTCAAACCACTACACAGTACAATCTCCTCTCTAGGAAAATTTTCTTTTACAAGGGAGCTAGATTTCTTTTGAACTTTGCTATCACAGTATAGGATAATTGACTGCACAAGTCTCTCCTCAAATTCCCAACTCATGCATGACTTTTTATTATGTTGTAGCAATAAGAGAGCAGTGGAGGTAGAGTGGAAGAAGACTTATTTTTGTCCTCATTACTGCTATGTGGAGCAAGGGCCCAAGTTTTTGAAAACAAGAGCTCAGAGGCATAGCCCTGGCCTTGGAAGATGCCCTGGAGACGCTGAGGTGGTTGCACTTTTGCCATAGGAGTGGCAGCCAGAGAGCTGAGCCCAATGAATGTAGAGGCTGGTACCTGGAAATATTGTGACTTGCACAGAAAGAAGATGGAAAATTTTAAAGTTGGAAATCTGCCTGGTAAGGGATCATTTGCTGGTGTCTGCAAAACTGAGTCCATACACACTAGTTTGGAAATTTCGGTCCAGATGATAGTTAAGAAAGCAATGAGAATACAGAGAGTCCACAATGAGATGAAAATGCACTGCCAGTTGAAACATCTCCTACACTGGAGCTTTATAAATATTTTAAAGACAAGGATTGGATTAGACTTGATATTAGAAATGTACCATAATACAGAAGGCAACACACACCTAAAGAACAGAATGAAAACCTTCTTAGGGAATGAAGCTTAATACTTCACCCACCAGGTCATCGCAAGAATGTTGCATTTTCATTATTATGGTAAGTACACTGGTAACTTCTTTTCTAACCTTGTATGCATAATGTAACATCAAGACTGACAATTTGGGGCTGGCAACTTAATTGGAAAATCACTGTTCTCTATTGTAAAATTCCTAATTATGTTTCCCTAGAAATTGCAAAGTGCACATGTACTTGCTTTTAGTGTTTGGTCCATGGGCTGAACGCTTTGTGCATTACTTTTTTTTTTTTTAAGACAGAGTCTCACTCTGTTGCCCAGGCTGGAGTGCAGTGGCATGATCTTGGCTCACTGCAACCTCTGCCTCCCAGGTTCAAGCGATTCTTCTGCTACAGCCTCCCAAGTAACTGGGATTACAGTTGCTCACCACCACACCCAGTTAATTTTTGTACTTTTAGTAGAGACGGGGTTTCACCATGTTGGCCGGGCTGGCCTCAAACTCCTGACTTCAAGTGATCCACCTGCTTTGGCCTCCCAAAATGCTGGGATTACAGGAGTAAGCCACCGTGCCCAGCCTGTGCATTACTTTTGAGGCCACATTTGACAATGGCACAGTCAAGAACACTAAATGAAGTAGTATTGGAAGATTATGAAATGGCAATTGTTTTGGAAGACAGCAAACCTCAAGTATGAAACCACCATCAAGTTTTCAGACATGTACATTATGAAGTATTGTACCTTCTTTAACTATGTGCAAGTTAAAATCAGTCATAACTGAAAATCAAAAGGGCGATAGTGAACATACTTCATTCAGAAGAAGTATCCACAAAACTTCTAAAAGAGGTCTTAGTATATCCAGGGATGAAGATATGATTACAATGTATTATCCACATGATGGAAGTTTTCTCTTGCTGATAGAATGCATCCACCTACTAACATCAGTAAGTACAAGTTTAACAGTATACCAGAAACATACTGGAGGAAATATGAATATGCTTCCAGATTTATTCTACCTATAGGATCTGTCTCTATTTTATAAGGCCATCTATTTTACAAGGTACTGTAAATGCATTTTGATGAAAAAAATTACCCTGCTATTGATTTTGAGGTCTGGTATTATGATAGAGCAAATACTATCCAAAAGAGATTTAATTCAAGTCGTTGCAAAATCTTGGAAAATTTGTGAGAAATCTTACACATTGAAAGGAGGAAGAAAAGTTGGTAGCTTGAAAATGTGTTCCACTGTGAACAATTCTCTGCAAATCTACCCCCAAAAGTCAAGGATGCTGACAGGCTGAAGAAAGAGGCTAGCAAATCTAGTTTCTCAGAAAAAGAAAAATTAATAGGGACTTATGAACTGAAGCCGTTTGAGATGAGATGCCCTGAGATGAGTTGGTGGATCCTCACACTATTATCCCCAGACCCAGGGCTTATATACCATAGGGAAAGACAATTGCAGTAATTTGTTTAACCGCAGGATTTACAGCAAGTACATGCTCTTAAGAGTAGATTAAGTAATAACCTTAGAGGCATTCCTAGAACTGGAGTTAATCAGAAGTCAACATGGTGGATTAGCATCCAAGATGGAGTTGCTTTAGCCTCCACAAAGAGAAAATGAAAATATATTTGGTCAATGCTAATTAGGCGTGTTCCATTTGTTTGAAACTGAAATCTATAATTTCCAAAGAAGAAAATAAAAGTGGGCCGGGCGCGGTGGCTCAAGCCTGTAATCCCAGCACTTTGGGAGGCCGAGACGGGCGGATCACGAGGTCAGGAGATCGAGACCATCCTGGCGAACACGGTGAAACCCTGTCTCTACTAAAAAATACAAAAAACTAGCCGGGCGAGGTGGCGGGCGCCTGTAGTCCCAGCTACTCGGGAGGCTGAGGCAGGAGAATGGCGTAAACCCGGGAGGCGGAGCTTGCAGTGAGCTGAGATCCTGCCACTGCACTCCAGCCTGGGCGACAGAGCCAGACTCCATCTCAAAAAAAAAAAAAAAGAAAGAAAAGTGGAAGTCGTCCTTCCTTTTTGGTATTCATAGACAATCTGGCAGTGTTAGGCCCCTAAGGGCTTATCACCTTCTCCTTCTGTGGGTCAAACTTTGCAGTGAGAGGAATGACATCTTTTAAAAGAATAATCATGACTAGTTTAATCATGACTAGTTCATCTTCTCTGCAATAGATACTCATATTTAACATATCTATTGGCATATTACAAAGAATATGATTTCACAGCTACAACTTTGGGACAAACTCCTTTTCTGGCACTCTCAATGATCGTCTTCCAAAATCAGAACAGCTTTTGAATTCTATTTTGTGGAAAATGTTGTTTGAGCGACACAGTAAACTCTGTGGATCTCTGTAGATACAGTTGAATGATGGCTCCCAATTTATCACGCAGGCAGGATTATATTCCAACAGTTATATTTCACAGAAAGGCAAAATAACTAAGTATAGAGAAAATGAAAAATTTCCATTTTTCATTTTTACATCAAACAGAAATTACAGTGTCTTTCATCTCTTTAAAGTTTTCTTATCAAAATACTAGTTTTCATCAATTAAAACTTTATTTAGGTAGATATATTTCATAAATAACCTTTTATTGGCTTAAAGGGAATGATTTTTCTGTAATATAACTTTCTATTTCAGGAAGCTTTTCTATGAGAACTTAAAACTATACCAAATTATCTTTTTCTTTTGTTTTTGAGACAAACTGTCACTTTGTCACTCAGACTGGAGTAC